ACGATACATACCTCGATACAATGCACTTTCAATTCAATACGATATATTTCAAATCGATTTGATACGGTTCAATAAAAAATCAAGTCTAAATCATGTCTGTGACACTGAAAGTCTTAAATAAATCTTTAAACCACTTCTTCTTGTGCAAAGTTCATATGAAACACAAACATTTTAATCATCAAAACAAGTGAAAATGTCAAATGTGTCGCATAAACGAGTTTCCTTCAACTAAACAAACAACAAAACTGTAGCTGTAACAAAATAATTTAGTCAAATAAACCAAAAAATTCTCTTGGTGAAATATCGATACAGCAGCCCACGATATCGATACTGTATCATCACATTAAACGATACGATATTTTGATATTTTTGCACAGCTCTAATTGTAAAATCAGTCAAGTGTCAGTTTGTGGGGAAATAAAAAATGTTGAAAATTACAGGAAGTTGCACAAAATATGTAAAATTTTGTCTTTTACGCACGCACGTTTCTGATGGTTTAAACATTCATTTATATTTTTAACTTTTACTCAATTAAGATGATTAAATATGTCCTCTTAATCTTAATAAAAGTGAGTTTTGCTAAACCCAGGACCTGCACTTTCTCGGTTTGCTTCCCGAGCTGGTTTGAATGAAGCGGTCAGTTGTGGTGTGAAGAGGCCGAGGCTCCGACAGCTCCGTGGCTGACCTCAGATCAGATTATACAGACTCACTGTCACCACACGATACTACGGGGAGATGGAGTTACCCACCCGCTCCATCTGTGCAACCGAGACCGAGCGTTACACAATATCTTACAAATGAAATCGCAATCGGAATGGACGCAATTAGCAAATCACAAAGGCTGCAATTTCTGGAACTCTCCCGTCTTATTCTGCATTAAAATCTGTAGTTTAGATCTTTACAAACATGTTCTGAAATGTGATTCTTGTTTTAGTTTGTCAGTTCAGATTTCACTCTTTTTGTAAATTCTTCTGGACGTGTTTAAAATGTGAACTTTAAACAGAATTCTATTTTTAAAAACAGAAATTGCAAATGTAATCCAGGGTTCCCACTCTTTTTCACTGACAAAATTTCAAAACATTTCCATGACTTTTTCAGAATCTAAAGTGAATTTTCCATGACTTTACGGCGCCTCCATGTGTAGATTAGGGACGGGCATTCGATGAAATTTTCTTAATCGATCGTCGGAAGAATTAACGATCGATTATCGATTAATCATTAACGTTTTTATATTAAAATGATCATCATTATTATTACTATCTGCACTAATCTGCATAAATAAATTCAACTTTACGACATATAAACATAACGACTCTAGATCCACATCAGCTGTTTGACATTATAATGTGTTTAATTCAGTTTTGTTCAAATCTCACAGAAACGAAACTTAAAACTGCATCGCTAATTTACATAAACTCAGCGAAGATAAAACTCCAGCTCTTGTGTCGCTGATGTGGTTCAATTTGTGTTGGATTAAAAGACATGACTCAGGTGAATACAGGTCAGTGTGACCAGATTTGTGTTTGTCAAAACCAGGACAGCGTACGGGGGGAGGGGGGCGGGGCCTCGTCATCCACATTGAGCGACTCTCACCTGGAAAAACTTTTTCCCACTGGACACAGAAACATATGTTCCTGCTTTATCCACTGTGCACATGGACTCACACTTGTCCCAACGCAACGGAAAGCGTGGAATTTCTTGTACAAATCATCGTTAAATACGCATTTGTGCTTTGGTTCGTTACAGACTGACCCACTGTTTGTGTCTCGCTCCTTCTGATGCAGAGACACATGTACACACCTGTTTGGTCACGATACACACAGCAACATACATTCGGTTTGTCGATTAAAATTAACGTAATCGATGAAATTCTTAATGATCAATTATCGATTAATCATGCCCATCCCTAGTGTAGATCATACCACTTTTTTTTCGAACTTTAAGTCGCTCTGGAGTATAAGTCGCAGCAGCCAAAAAATGCATAATGAAGAAGAAAAAAAACATGGGTCAGTTCGTATGAAATCAGCCGCCCTCCCCTATGAGCCATCTCAGATTTGGCTGAAAAAATTTCAAAAAATTTCTAAAATGACTAAATGAAAGAATCTCAACTGTGTCCACATGGGGAACCGAGGGCTCCAAAGAAGGGGCCAAAAAGATCACATTTGTTCTGTGTCCATATTTGGGACTCTACACTGTCCACATGAAAACTCAGAAAAGTGTGAGATTGTTGTCAGAAATGTTGTCATTCTCTCAAATATTCAGGTTCAACAGTTAGTTTGTAAATATCTGCTTGGAGTAAATAGATCTTGGACCTCAAAAATTGAAAAAAACAATTGAGCTGCAACCAAATGTGAGATTTTGGGGGCCCACAGCGCCCCTCTTAATAAAGATACACAATATTTGACAAAAGATTCAGAATCTATGAACCAAGAATCTACAATAATACACATTTTCATCTTCCTAGCTCTGTTTTTTATGAAGTTCTGGTCTCTCAAACATGTTTATAAATTAAGGCTTCAGAAAAAGTGAGCATGGCCATAACTCAGGAATGACTCAAGGGATTGAGCTAAAATTTGAGATTCTTTCATTTGGTGATTTTAGACATTTTTTAATTTTTTTTCAGCCAAATCTGAGATGGCTCACAGGGGAGATTCCTTGGACTGACCCATATATAAGTCGCACTTTTTGGGGGAAATATATTTTATAAAATCAGGGACCAGGAATCGACATTTCATCTTGAAAGGCAAGTTATAATAATAATAAAAACAATAGAATAAAGAACAACAGGCTGAACAGGCGTTAATATGTTAACGTCACATATGAACAGCATAACTACAGCATAAACAACAGAACATAAGTTTACCAAACTAGGGATGGGCATTTGATTAAATTTTCTTAATTTCGATCATCGGGAGAATTAACGATCCATTACCGATTAATCATTAACGTTTTAATATTAAAATTTATCATCATTATTATTACTATCTACACTACTAATCTGCATAAATAAATTCAACTTTACGACATATAAACATAAACACTCTAGAGCCACATCAGCTGTTTGACATTATAATGTGTTTAATGCAGATTTGTACAAGTCTCACAGAAACAAAACTTAAAACCGCATGACTAATTTGCATTTGAGATCAGATTTCAGTCTCTCTCAAATGTGAATACAAAGTGCACTATTTTATAAAACATTGTAATTTGTTAAATGCCATCAACAGTTCTATTTGGTATAATTATAAAACTAATACATATTTCTAGCCTTTATTTCCTGTAATTTTGGTTATTTCATTACAATTTAAGTGTTTTCTAGTTGTTTTCCTGATATAAAGCTTAGTTGTACAGTAGTAACTCTCACGTGTGTATAGTCTGAGTGGTTGATTTGATGGAGAACACTGCCATCTGGTGGTGACACAAATAACAGCCGCCTTCTTCCTTCAGATTTGACTTTAATTTTCCTTTTTGATCAAAAGTTGAGTTTTGAGAGGTGAGAAACTACAAACAAATCTACGCACGATGGTCTCTATTCACGCTTATGTAACCAGGGTGAAAAAAGCGTAGTTATTCTTCACCATTAATAACAATAATAATACTAATTTAGATGAAGAGTTTGCATTTCTCCATTAATTACTGGAATGTACTGGGGGTGTTTTCTCCTTGGGGCATTCTGTTGAACTCTCAAAATCCAATCGGAGTAACAAAAGCTTTGTTTTGGTCTTCGCTTTATCAGCTTCAGCCATCCCAATTTCATAATATCCGGATTTTAAATCAAGGACACTGAAGTAGTAATTGTAGTGACACACTTCCTGCACTTGAGTCGCAAAACCGGAAGATGTTTGGAAACATGCGGATTAGGAGTGGGCTATATATATAAAATATAACAAGAACACGAAAATGAATTCTGACATATTATATAGAGTGCTAAAATGCTTATATATTTAATTCTGATTTCACCGCTTCGCTTGTTTACAATGCAAAGATGAACTTGAGTTGAGCTGTTTTATTTTTAAATGACAAGAAGGCAATATGCATTATTTCTTCCTTTATTTTAGAGTTAAATCATTATTTTTGTATATAGGGATTTTTTTTTTATGCTGCAGAAGCACTTTGTGAATTTGGCATATTTGTTTTTGCAGTAGTTTTTGAGGGGTTAAAACAAAGCATTGCTGTGATATTAAAAGGCTATATTAAACCAATAAGTTTGAGCAAAGTTAAAATATAAAATGCCCATTTTACTCGAAAAAGTGAATATGTCTAATGTACAACATAAACAAGTTTCCTTTCCAACACAGCTGCAGCTCTTTTAGAAAATAATTTACTAAAATATACAAAAAAAGACCACCCATGGCAGTATCATGAAATTAAACTAAACAACATCGATATTTCAATATTTAGTAATCTTGGAAAAATTAGAAAATGGCCCGGTTTTCTTCATCTAGATGTCATTGTTTTCTTTCTTTTTTCTTTTTAAAAATTGCCTATTAATGTGTCTAATTTCATTTAAAAAAAAGAAAAAAAAAAAGTGCAGTTAGGGCTGGGTATCATTAATAAGTTGTCAATAAGATACATATCTTGATATGGTGAGTTTTCGATGCAATTCGATATATTTCAAATTAATTTGATGCGGTTCAATAAAAAATAAAGTCTAAATCATGTCTGTGATACTAAAAGTCTTTGATAAACCACTTTTTGAGCAAAGTTTATAAGAAACACAAACATTTTAATTCTCAAAACAGGGAAAATGTCAAATGTGTCACATAAACGAGTTTCCTTCCTCTGAACAAACAACAAAACTTTAGCTGTAACAAAATAATTTAGCAATAATTTTCCATCCCCCAAGGAAAGTTTGGCAGGTTGTTTTATTTTCCAGACGTTTTCCGTTAAGCGTGAATAAAACCCATTGTGAAAAGTGTCATTTTTAAAGATGATAAAAAACAAACTATAGTGTATTTACTCGTGTGTGTTTGTGCGGTGGCTCCTGGTGTTGTACTCACTCGGGCTGGAGGAGAGTGGCTGCTCCCTGGGCTCGTGTCTGGAGATCTGTCCCTGCGACTCGTGGAAGTCTGGTTCTCAAACTCTGGTTCGTCGTCCAGAAAAATCACTCCTTTCTCCATCCGCGGCTTTTTACGGCTCTGGAAAAAAAATACAGTTGAGTTTGGTTCAGTGAGTGCAACTTCAAAAGGTGCACTGTGTTTGGAGACGTCTTTGAGTTGCCTGGAATTTTCTACAATACAGTATTTAACGTATCAATTTCCAAAGAAACAAGCAATTCACGCTACAATTACACCAATTACAGGTCAGATCTGTGGAGAGGCGACTACGCTGACAATGAGACAGCATGTTTTTAATGTATTTTTGAGCTATAAAACCACATGTAACTGAATAAATGTGAGTTAGAGCTGTTTAATGTCACACTGTGGAACATTACAGGCAGAGCAGTGACATATCCTTAGAAACGAGCAGGTGACGGACCCTCTGAAACCAAAAAGTTACACAGTGCACCTTTAAAGAGTACGACGGAGTATAAAGCTCACATTAAAAAATAAAAAAAAATGATGTTGGCGCTATGAGAATAAAGAAGCCAGAAAAAGTCATAAGATTAAGAGAATAAAGTCATAATTTCACGAAAATAAAGTCGCAAGTCAATATAAAGACGTAATATTATGAGAATAAAGTCGTAATAAACTCAAAGTCAAAGTGAAAAATGCCACAGAAGAAGAACCTCCATCCCTGTGTCGTTCGTTCATTCGCTTTTCAATATAAAACCAAAAATAAGAAAACGAAAAAACAACCGTTTTCTTCATTTTCACCTCCGGACTGAACCAGGACTAAACCAGGACTAAACCAGGTCCGGGACCAGACCAGGACTGAGACAAGGACTTAGACCGGGACCAGACCAGGACCAAGACTGAGACCGGGATCAGACCAGAACTGAGACCAGGACTGAGGCCGGGACTGAAGCCGGGGCCAGACCGTGATCCTGGAACCAGACCGGGACTTAGGCCGGGACCAGACCGTGATACTGGAACCAGACCGGGACTGGACCAGAGGACCAGACGGGACTGAGGCCGGGACCACTGATACTGGAACCAGACTGGGACGGACAGACCGTGATACTGGAACCAGACCGGGACTGAGACCTGGACCAGACCGTGATACTGGAACCAGACCTGGACTGAGGCCGGGACCAGACCGTGATACTGGAACCAGACCGGGACTGAGGCCGGGACCAGACCGTGATACTGGAACCAGACCGGGACTGAGGCCGGGACCAGACCGTGATACTGGAACCAGACCGGGACTGAGGCCGGGACCAGACCGTGATACTGGAACCAGACCTGGACTGAAACCGGGACCAGACCGTGATACTGGAACCAGACCGGGACTGAGGCCGGGACCAGACCGTGATACTGGAACCAGACCGGACTGAGGCCGGGACCAGACCGTGAACCAGACCGGGACTGAGGGGGACCAGACCGTGATACTGGAACCAGACGGGACTGAGACCGGGACCAGACGTGATACTGGAACCAGACCGGGACTGAGACCGGACCAACTGGACTGAGGACCGGGAACCAGACCGTGATACTGGGACCAGACCGGGACTGAGACCGGGACCAGACCGTGATACTGGAACCAGACCGGGACTGAGGCCGGGACCAGACCGTGATACTGGAACCAGACCGGGACTGAGGCCGGGACCAGACCGTGATACTGGAACCAGACCGGGACTGAGACCAGGACCAGACCTAATACTAACTAATACAAAAAAATTGCACTGTGCCAATAATATTAGTCCAGGTGCCGATGCGACAAAAGCCTCATGTTGGGCTTTTTACCGTGATCTCTGCGGTCCGGATGCGTTTGCGGTCAGGCTGGAAGTCGTCATCTGTCTCCGATTCCTTCTGGAGTTTTTCGGACAAACGTGACGCGATGGACTGTTTCTTTGGCTGTGGATCTTCAGGTGGAGACGCTGCAAAACACGAGACAAGTCAGTCCGTTTTTATTCTTTATTTCTTATCAACTTTGTCCCACTTCGGCCTTTGTCCCGTTTCGATTTTAACAAATTTAGACTCTCTCTGTTTTTCTTATACAGATGGATTTGAATCTGGTCTCCACTTTCTTTGTCACGTCTCGACCGAGAACAAAATGTAATCGTCCAATCAGATTTGTTTATTTCACTGACAGCGATGTGGAACGAAGGAGCTCATTGGTCACCATCACTTACAAATAAAATCACCCCACTCAGCTGAAGAGTTTAGTGTTTTGCTCATTGATTCTTCAAAAATGTGACCTGTTTTTCAGTCCCGTCATTTTTTATTTTTTTATTTTTATTTGTTTGTAAAACATCTTGAGTGTCCAAAAAAGTGCTAAATAAGTCCGATGTGTTATTATTATTATTATTATTATTATTTATGGACAGACTGTGCATGTCCCTGATTGGCTAATGCATCTGTCAATCACGCCCATCTGAACTCAGGGACATTTACTGGTGAAAAAACTCACATCTTCAGAAAATACTGAAGAAGTGTTCTGGGCACCAGGTAAAGTAAGTACATTTTTCTTCTTCTAACTCCCTTTCAAGCTCAACTTAACAATGTGTTGTAAATAGGGATGTAACGATGTCTAAATCTTTCAATCTCTCGGTACGATATTTATTGTGATATTTTGGAGAAGCTGATATAATTGTACATAGGACGCGTTTTTGGTTTTAAAATACTCTGACAAGATTTTGGTGTGAATTATTTCCGTCATAATCCCAAGAATTCAAGTAAAAAACATATTTCTTGATGTTGTCTGTGCTGAAATGAATCATGGGAAATGTAGTTCCTGATGTTTATAAGCTGTTCCTTCTATAAAACCTGCATTTAGACCAGAGGTGTCAAACTCATTTTGGTCCAGGGGTCGTATCCAACTTACTTTGATCCCAAAGTGTCCGGATCAGAAAACTCATGTCATATAAACCCCAAAAATAACAATAAGTTCAAATATTTGTGCAGAGTAACACAAATCTGTTACAGAAATCTTTTTTAATTGATGAGCTCTTTCTTTTACAAAATATTATAATATTATGAACAATCTGAAACTTTAAAAAAAAATTAATTTCAACACAAAGTTTTAACATGAACTTGTATGTAAATAGGAATAAGTCCATTTTTGTTGTAAAATCCTGCACTCGGCTCCACTTTTCTCATGTTGGACATTTTTCTGATGAGGGTGTCACGGTCAACAGTCAAAACGATCGTCCTTTAAGAGCGTTTGGAAAGAGACAAGTCTTCATTTGTGCTGCTCTGGTGGGAGGGGCCACGTACAGAGACGCTGGAGACGCTGCTGTGATAAACACCACAGAAAATTAACAAGATTTTAATAGAAATATAATTAAAATATTTTAGTAGAAAATCAGCCGAGGGCCAGATTAAAGGTCTTGGAGGGCCGGATCAGGCCCCTGGGCCGTATGTTTGACACTCCTGATTTAAGTAAAGAAACTTGTAATTCAATATATTGTGACAGTCCACGATATTATTGTGAGACTTTTGACGATTATGTGAGATTTGACGATCTAAATCTAAATGCTGTATATATGTAAATACTGTCATAAGCTTGAAATAAAATAAATCAGTAAATCAATAAATTAGAGCATTAGATTTTGTGTAAATTTGCATAAGTTTGTATATACTTGAGTGAAACAGTCTACAATGAACTAGCTCTGTTTTTCATGTTTTTTAGACTTTTCAGAGCTTTTAATCATGTTATAGTTGTTTCCCTTTCTCATGACCCTCTCAAAGTTGTATTTGGAGTGATTTGTCCATGTTTTGAGCAATCTTTAATTTTCGCAACTCATTTCACCATCACTGACATTATGGCCACTATTATTTTCTTAACTGGTGATATACGCAGGATTCAGCAGAGTTATGTAGTAATTTTGGTACAAATGAAAACAAAAATCCACTACTTGCTGGCGTTATCATGTCACCACACGCTCTTGTTCTCACCTTTGCTGGTCTCTGGAGGAGCAGGGTTGTTTTTACAGGGCGACTGGGTCAGGTCCACCACAGGAGCCACGGGAGTCTGAGGAGCTTTGGTCTGACTGTGACACGAACAGAGACAGGAGGCTGCAGGCTTCTTCGCATCTCCACTCATCTTGTCACTCTGGCTCTTCTCGTCCTGAGAGTGGAGCGACTGCTGCAGCTTCACTGTTAAAAACAACATCGGGGACCAGTCAGAACAATAATATTTCACTTTCCGAGTCCAACTAGATCTAAACCCGGACTTTATTACACCAGAATCAGGGCAAAACATTGATTTAAAATACTGTAAGTCTACCAGGTCCACAGAGACGGCACTTCTCAGTAATAAAAGAACAATGTAGGAATTTCCTGTGGACTCTGGATCAGCATCAAGAGTGAATTTACTGGATTAGATGTTTGGATTGAGTCATTACAACTGCATTTTTCAGGCTTTTGGAGAACTCATGTCCTCTGTAACAAACAGGGTTCCCACTCAACTTTTCACTGACAACATTTCAAAACTTTTCTATGACTTTTCCATGACCTAAAGTGAATTTTCCATGACTTTACGGCACCTACATATGTACAATTGATCAGACTTTTAGGGCTAAATATGAAATGTTAACTCTTTCCACTCACTTTATGGTTTGGGATTATAGTTTTTTAACATTCAAAATCCTGTCAGTGCATTTATTGTTGTGTCTTTTAAACAAAAGGCACAGATGTTCAGAAATAATCAGAATAGTCTCATGAGAACTTAACAGAACGCAACAAAGAGATACTCAAATTCCAAGACTATTCCAGAATTTCCATGACCGTGGGATCCCTGAGCAAAGCAAAATTATACATGTATAGAAAACGGGTTGTAGTTAATCTGCTGGCAACAGTGAGGAGCGTGAAGCAGATTAAAATAGTCCAATGAGATTCATTTGGTCTTCTGATATTTTATGTTATTAGGTTCTTTTTTCAGACCAAGAGTTTGTTTTCATACCTGACACTTTCGACTGCTCACTAGCGCTCTTCTTCAGAGTCACGTGATGTTGCTGTGACGTGTCGGTCAACGGATTTAAACGGGTTCTGGCGCCGTCTTCCTACCGATGGAGGCAGGACGACAGCGCCATCTGCAGGCAATAAATAAAGAGGCAATCGAAATACGGAAGCGCGCCTACGAGACCATAAACCGGGACGAGGGGGCTTTTTTACTCTCACACACCTGGGACACTGTCCTGAGGAAGTCGGACTGCAGGTGGCGCTGTCGTCCTGCCTCCAACGGTAGGAAGACAGCGCCAGAGCCTGTTTAAATCAGCTGAACGACACGTCACAGCAACATCACGTGACTCTGAGGAAGAGCGAGAGTGAGCAGTCGAAAGTGTCAGGTATGAAAACAAACTCTTGGTCTGTAAAAAGAACCTCATAACATACAGATTAAAGTAGGCTAAAAAAACACAGCTGTGCTCTAACAGGACCCAGGTCAAGAGACAGGGACATGTGGATTTTCGTCAGGTCTTCATCAGTGCAAACACTCAAAAATATCTGTCAATTAGAGATGCGCGGATGGGCTATTTTTTCATCCGCAACCGCAACATAAAACTCATCATCCGCCCGCTGTCCATTTTGCACCGAAGGTTTTCAAAACCGCACCCGCCCGCCATCCGCCGATTGATTTTAGATTTTAGAACAATCATACAGCAATCAAACTAAGGAGCCTCGATAAAAATGCAAACTCTATAGCTCATTCATTCCAAAATTCGCTCAGCGTGTTTGTTCACATTCTTTATTGTCCGTAACAACCCCAGACTTACCTGGTTTTCTTGCGCAGGCTGTTTTTGAACCTTCTTGCCTTCGTGTTGGATGTTGTTACATTCTGAACATTCTGCCATCGCCCGATGTTATTTCAAAGTCATAGCCTCACTCCATCGGTCTTTCTTTAAGTTTTAAATCCCCCGAGTGGCAGTCTACGATATAATGTCTGCGTGTTTTAAAATATATCTGATATCGAAACAAAAAAAACAAAAAATGCATAACTAAATAAATATGGCCCTATAGCCACTTACGTGTTGGCAAACAGCTGAAATAAATTAGAAATAATAAAATAAACTGCATATAATATGTGCCTCGTAAACGTTAGGCATCAATAACCCGACACAACCTTAACCTTCAGAACATAAAAACGAGGTCAAATGGGCTAATTAAGGATATGACGTACACTTCATACTACAAGCATAGACAATGAGACTCGTCTTTTCAGATGTAGGTAACTAACAATAACTTTTTTTTTTTTTTTTTTTTTTTTTAGTAGTTAAACCGCCACCCGCCCGAATTTAATAAAAATATAATTTTTCGTCACGTCATCCGCCCGACTCGCGGATTAACCGCGGATACCGCGGTTGTAACCGTAATCCGCACATCTCTACTGTCAATCTATGTATCTCTATCTATGTGTATCTCTATGTTTATGTATTCAATATGGGACAGTGCCAGAGTTAGTCATGCAAGCTCATTTTCATCTGTAGTCCCTCTGAACACAGAAGCACTTCCAGTTTACGTCCTTCCTGCTTTAGTTGGACCCCTGGAGCTGCAGACTGTAGATTTAAGACTTACATAACTGAGCCTGGTGCCAGCCCAGAGTGGAGCAGAGCAGGGCCAGACTCTTCCCGCTGCCCGTGGGACTCTCCAGGAGACAGTTCTGACCGTTGTTCAGCCCCCGCATGATCTGACCAGGGAGAAAGGGTCATCAAAAGTGTAAATAATCAGATACAAATCAATACTAAATCTAATATCGAAACTAGACACTCATTTGAGCAGGTATCGATACTGAAAACACAAATATATGAACACGTGGGAATAGAAAATATTGAAAAGCACATTCTATTGTCTAAAGAAAGAGGGTTTATTATTATCATTGTGTTTATCGTGGTATCGGAATCAGTATTAAGCATCAAGTCTCTCCCTTAGTATCGTAATAGAGTGTCAAATTTTAGTATAAAAATAATTCATATTTCTATACCAAGACTCGCAGAAAGGAGAATACACAGAAAGGATTAGGCGGAGTTTTGGGTTTTAACGGATTTTTTTATTTGTCTTTCACTTAAGAAGATGTTGTTTGCTTGCACCTCTCTCTCTCTCTCTTTCTCTCTGTCCAAATAATTGTTTTGTGCAAGATCTTAATTCATTTATTTATTTTCTTTATCTGAAAGTAGCAGCCAACTCAAAAGTTACACAATGCACCTTTAAGTTTATAAGGATTTTCACGCACAACAGGAGAAAGAAGAATTCACAGAGGAAGTCAGCCGTAGTTTTGGGAAATAATGGATTTTTAAATTTGCCTTTCACTTGCTGCAGCTGAAGCACTTCTCTGTGTTAAGAATTGTTTTTGTGCAAGATCCTAATACTGTTTTAATAATACTAATACTATTTGTTGAGCTGAAAGTAACACCTATGATACTGAAAACTGGCACGGGAAAAACATGGTGTGTAGTTCATGAG